CTGTGGAACAGAGATCAGCATTTTCCTTTGCTTTCTCTCTACCAGTAACACTACCACAGAATAATTTCCTATTATGGTACAGATCACATTATGGCTCTGCCTTTTTGGCTTTTGTCCTCACCTGCTTTTTCAACTCTTTGAAGTTATGCTTAGCAATCTGAACTAATTTCCATTTTCTGTGACCTTTTATTTTTGCTAAATGCCAAGGAAAAGTGATTTAGTACAGTGAGTCTGGTCCTATGCCTCCTATCTTTCCCCTGGCCAGTTTGTGCTTTTATCATCATTCACCCTGTGTAACTCCTCTAACCATCAAAGTTTCATTTATGAAATCTCAGGTTTATTGAAATATGCCTACCCCAAGTACATTACATTTAATTTACTTTTCCGTTTGTAAGTCACAGTCTTCGTAATTTCATGGTCATCCTAGTCCCTAACCTTTATATTTTCTGGAGTCTCACTGTGGACTAACCACTCTGCAGAAATTCCTCATTCTAAAAAGTTAGCTGAGAGAGGTATTCATGGTCCAAAGATTTTCTTCCCTGTTCAGGGTGAGATTAACGTAATTAATACTCTTTTTTGAACAAGCATAGGTTTTTAATGACTTTCTCTTCTTGTGTTCCTTCTGCTTAACTTGTCAGGGGATGCTACTAGTTAAATGAACCTGAGAGTGGTGATTGAGTCCTAGAATTTTTACAGTATCATTAGGGCAACGTAGACACTTTTGATTAGGAGAAAATTAATACACAAAAGCTATTCTTCTCTCAATCAAATCACAGCTTCTTTTTAGATGAAGCTACAAGAATGCTAATCAATGCGGGACACAAAGAACAAAGATTTTCCCTCTCTTCTGCAAGTCTACCCTCCCACTTAATTAAAAAATAGTCTTCCTAGCAGGATAATAAGGAAAAAGAGGGACCCAGGGAGCAGAAGTATTGGTAATCAGAGGAGAACCTGTGCTGAAACAGAAGGTATAATTTTGCCATTTCCTGATTCCTCCTGGAATTAAATAATCACACCATCATGCTGTGACCTATCTTTTTCTGGATTTATAGGACTGATCTGTGTTGTCCAACCCTCTCCAGCTGTGGTCACACAGGCTGAGCAATGCCTAAGGACCATCACGGTCCCTGCTCAGTGAGCACGCATGGCAGAGCTGACACAGGTCCGTGATACCACTATGTAAAACTCCGGTATGAGGGTTTGCAAATCCTCCCATTTGCAACCCCTGGGATGAAAGGAGGCAAAGAAACTAGGGTTAAAGCCTGGAAAAGTTTCTCGTACTCCCCAGCTCCCTCTGTGCTGGAGTGGCAAAAGCATTCCTGTCTACTGCCCTAGAGGGAAGCAGGTAGTGAGCACCACACCACTGACGAGTGCAGAGGAAAAGGAAGTTTCATCATGGAGCCACATCATGTTCTGTTCAGAGTTAAATGGGAATTTTGGGACAAAAGAGGAGAGCAGGAACCCAAATGTTGCCTATAGACATGGCTGCCTGCCTTGAAAACTGTCGGTAAGGTAGGTCACTTTACTGAGATGTGACAGGAGAGGAAACTGCAGAAAATTGTTGTTTCCTGGAAACCCTTTGCCATGTTGAAGAAGTTATCAAACTCCTAAAAATAAAAAAATTAAATAAAACTAGAAGCTTGGCAGGTGAGGAAAAGATGGATGTGACTAGCATTTAAGGGGGACAAAGCTGTGGGAGCTGTTAAACTCCAGCAACTTTAATAGCCACGACAGCTTTAAATCCTTACAAGCCATTCTACCAACAAAGTCTACCTAAGTGCAGCAGAAAAATAATGCCTCTCTGTTGGTTCCCCTTCCTTTCATTTGCCCCAGCTGATGGGGGAAAAGAGGAACAATTAATATTTTATCACCAAATAAATAACTGGTGCATGGTCCTTGGGTTAATATTTCTCACAAACAATATACATTGTATGAAATGAGAAGTTCAGCTAACCACTAGAGAGGAGCTACTTTATTAAAATAAAAAAACAAAACAAACCAAAATAACAATGAGAGCAGCTGGAGTACTTCTGGTGATTTTTGAAGGTAATGCTTTATCACTTCACCTTGACTGTCCTTGGGAAGCTATCTTCTCTGCGTGCCAAGGTTTCCCAGTTCTTTATTAAGTTTTCATCCAGCAAAAACTGGAGTCTTGTTCTCCAGGAAAAGCTGGGGAAAATGGATTTTTCAAACTCCTCATTATGCAAACCCTCTCAGAATACGCTCACAAATACATGATTCAGCATCCCAGGGGCCAACAGACACATTAACACATTTTGTACACTCTGGGCTATTTCCCAGATAGCATTCTTCCCATGGTAGACACAAAACACTACTATTTGTTTTGAAGACACTTTCCTATGAAGGAAAGAAAATCTTTCAAATAATTACATAAGATTGGACCATTTTCAAAATACATGTAGTTCAGATGAAAAAAAATCACTGCTTTATAAATATTCAGCACTACAAATTGTTCTCAGTATGTAGAACAGATGAACTTTTCACCAGTAAAATTGTAAAACAAGAAAATTAGGTAAAACCAAGATGTTCCATATCCTGTTTTAGTGTCTAATTACTACTCAGAAATGCTTCCATTACAAAAAAAAAAAGAAAAAAAAAAAAGAAAAAAAATTTGTATCATAGTTAATTTGCCCCAAATATCTAGGGGCAAAATCAGTGTATTAAAGGCTACTACAGCTTCTGAGAATCTCTCTATGTACTTTTGTGCCAACAAAAAAAGTCACATATTTAATTTTTGAATGAAAAATTTCAGATATCCATAGTATATGTTGCTTCTATAATGGTTGTTTTTTGAATTAAGGTTATTTATATTTAGAGAAATTAATTTGAGAGCCTACTTGCAACCCATTTTCAGCTTAGTTCATGCACAGTACTTTCAGGTTTCTATATATCTAACAAAGCAACAAGCAGTACAGTCAGAGATTACTAAACATAGTCTACGTCTTCCCTGACCAAACATAAGCTATCAGTATTTCTTTCCCTTGTTTCATTGAATCCTTTTCTGCTCAGCAGCAGGTAAAGCAAAGACTAATGAGGAAGGAATCACCTTTCAGAAATGCTGGGTCATTGCATCAGGTTTTTCAAATGTCTTCTCTTTTGGGAGATGAGGGGGCTCAGCGGGGGCTGCTAAGATGGAAAAATATCAATGTATTACTCATCTTATTCAAGATGCCAGTGTGATGCAGTTTGTACTGATGCAGTAAGTGATAAGACAAGCTACTTAATGAATCTGGGAAATGATTAAATACCAGCACTCTTAGCAAGAAAAGAGACATTTTTAGGATAGGTAATTTTGCAGCTTTGCCATACAGACATTTCATATGACAAAATAAGCACTGGAAATAAGGAAGGAATATCAGACACTCTACTTTGCTTGAGTCACTATGCTTCACAGCTGTTGTTGTCCTGGTAGTCTTCCAAAAGAAAAGCTGTAGAGGCAAGTCAAGAACAGCTCCACTGAAGCACTCAAATTGTGATTTAACTGTGCAAACCCAACAGCACTCCAGTGCCACATAAAGCCGACCTGGTGCCCAAGGTGGCACCTGGTGGTGTTTGGTGGAGGGCCTGACAAAGCACAGCTCCATCAAGGAGCCACCTGTAAGAGTCATCGTGCTCATTAAATGTCTTCATTTGTCACACACCCCATATAAGCAGGAGTGCTCACTTCCCAAGAACCACAGTGCATTCTCCTGGCCTCCCTTTGCACTCAAGATGGAGTAACTGGATGTTCCATTCTGCTTTCTCCTTTGAAATTCCTGAAGAGTGGAACAAGTGCCTACAAAATGCAGTGCAATAGTGGCCTTGCAAAAAGTAATGTGAAACAACTTATACTGTGGGCAAGGAATCTGTATGGTCCTGGGATCCACAGTAGCCTTACAGCCACACTGTAAGCCAGGCATCAGGATGAGGTCTCATGTGTTCTGCTAATTGTTTGCCAGTATCTAAGTGTTTGTTAGCTATTACATTTTCATTCTATAGAGAGACATAAATGGAGAGATTGCATGGTGGACATTGGTCTGATTTGGTCATATTTTCTGTTCATACACTGTAAATTTGAAATAAAAGCTTTTAAGGAACCAGTGTAACACAGCATCTCTCTGCTATGCCTGAAGTTCTGCATTGCCTTTGGCAGAATCATTTTGACTATACCCATCCCTGAAAATTGAAGGTTTCTAGGTAGAAACAATGAATTACAAACATTTAGGAAAAAGTAGCTGCTAAGAAGAAAACAACTTTTTGAAACTCGTTTGTGAGAAGTAGACTTCAATTATTAGGACCTATTTTCAATTCATTCTTCCAGGGAATTTATACTGTTTTCAGCGACTGCTGTCCAGACCAAGCTGGACTCTTTACCTGACCTTTGATGCTACACATCCATGAGAAAATCTCCGTGATAGCGCTAACAGAGCTAGGAAAATAGGATAATTTTTCTGTGACATAGCTTCTATATGATTAATGATTCACATTTGTAAAGCTGTTTTTAAGTGGCAAAGAGCAGAGAATGACATGGGGGTTTTGAATGTGGGGTGGTTGCTCCTGAAATTACTTGTCTAAAAGATGATAAAAGGAGAGTTGATGGCTGCTGCCTGCCTGGAAGACTACAGAACATTGCCCACAGCCTTAAAACTGGGCTTTCAATGACCATATGTGTGACATAACAAGTCACATCTGATGTGGTGGTTACTTCCAGCCTTTGGCAGGCAGGAAAATTTAGATTGTTCCTAAGTGAAAGTACAGCTATTTCTCAAGAAGAAAACAGAGCTGAGGATCATCATGTTCTTGGCATGGTAACACCCTGCAGTTCTCCACAGCTCTCCCCAGAAGGTGATACCAATGAGGTAAAGGCTCAAAGGCATGAGAAGCTTCCCTTGCATATTTTGGGGCAAAAACAGGGTATGAACGTAAATCCTGTGGGATCTTCACTGCAACATTTCCTAAAGTCAGAATTATGTTATTTCGTATTTCATTTATTTTCTCAGCTGGCAATCCTACGGCATGAAAACTGGACTGCCATTTTAACAAATATGAACCACTCCCCTGTATCAGAAGTGATCTCTTGTCGCTTATGGCTCGTGCAACCCGTCTGAAGGGATGTTTGAAGGGTGAACAGACTGCTCTGGTCTCCCCACCTGGATGCTACAAGCAAGATGGAACTTACCTGCCCTGCTCTACTGGTGACACATTGTTGCTCTGCAGCAGCTAATGCCTGGAACGCATATCTAATTTAGGAACCTTCTATCTTTCTGGGCTTATTCAAGGTGTACGAGGTCACAAAGCTCAGAAGTCATCAGAGAAGTCAGAAAACCATTAGCCTTTTGCTGTAATTTAGTAGTATTTCATATTGTCCTTCTATTGTTTTGGAACTAAGAGCTTCGTCTTCAACTGAAAGCTCATCTGGGTTATTAAGACTAGTCCTTTATCTAATGGACCTACAGAAAAACATCTTACTGCTAGCCAGACTGCCCACCCACGTCCTGATTGCAATGTGGATTCTTGGGAGGATCACTTGTGTGAAATTCACTGTCCTGATTAATGAATACCCTTTACATATAAAGAGCAGAAATGAACTCATAGCAGGAAACAGTACTTACAGTTTTCTAAGTATGTTTTTAAAAATACATAAGATTAAAACTGAATTGAAAACTTCTAATATAAGACTAATATAAGGCTCCAAGATTTAATTATAAGTTATTTTCTCTGGTCTCTTATTTGACATGAGTGTTACACGCTCCCTTACATATGCTTACATATTACCAGTAACCCATGCTGGCTGGGAATATCTGTCTATTCACAGTTCATGCAGTAAAGGTTCTGTAGGCAAGTTCATGTTTCCCAAATGGGTTTCCTGCAAACAAAAAGTTCTTTAAATAACCCAGCAATAACTCCACCATTTAGGACATTTGCCCTGAGCTACATTCCAAGATGTCAGGGTCTGAGACGGAATTACTTTCTTTCTCTGGCACCTGTTTGCAGACAACAGTTTCTTTTGGTGTTTAAGATCTATGTTACAATTTGAGTCCATCAGTTGATTATAGACTTATCTACATGACAGATCACTCAGTCTTGGAAAACCTAGGCTCTAGTCCATGCTTCTGGTCCCCACTTCCTTTTCAAGTGATTGCTTGCCTTGGTGACATGCATATAAAGTCTTTGCAGCAAAGAGTATATATACTTGCACAGCACTAGGTGGGATGATGCAATCCTCCTGGAGATTCAGTAGGAATCCTAAATTCCTGACTCACTGCATACAGAGAGTGACAGCAGGAGAAAAAGAAGAAATAGAACAAGCCCAGTGGTTAATGGGCAAAGATAAGAAAACCACCATCACGTTAAAGAGATTCACCAATTGTTTGGGGACTGGATTTTGACAGCTGAATTAAAAAATAAAACTCCTTTAGGAATTATCAATGAAAGCTATTTAATTTATGTAGATGTGTCACACCATTAGCCTGAGGTGTCTCAAGCCGTGTGTTCAGAAGCACCATATCTCAGCTGCCATGGCAAAATAAGAGAAAAATGTGAAGAATTCTGAAGAGCAAAAATTCACTTGGTATTCTAAGGGGCACCAATGAATTTCTCTTCATGCAATGAGAAGCAATTCCTGTATCAAAGAGCTCAGCTCACATCACATTAAATGTGTGAGAAAGATAATTGCACAAATGAACACTGGAACTCAAGATGTTGAAAAATTGCTGAAGTACCTTCCTTCAATAATGCAAGAAGTCTTTGGTAGAAGTAAGAGTTTAAGAGGAGATTCTGCACTTCATTCTCTCATGGCTGATTTCTTTCCTTGAGGCAATTCCCAGAGACACACTCTGCATCACCTACATTATCTAGACGAATGCAGAATGTAAAGACTTGGTCCTTGTGACTCTCTCCACTAGCATTGGCTGCAAACTTTCCCATTGATGTGTGGGTTTTGCCTAGAGGGTAAGTTATTATTAAAAGCATTTTATTTCAGTATGTATTCTAGTAGAGAGGTAAATACATGGCTACAATAATGTCTGCCTATAGAACTCACTCTATTTAAATGTCCATATTTTTTGCTGGTAAAAACATCAATCCACGAAGAGAAGCTTTGCTTGTGTAGCTGCATTAGTAAAAACGTTCCAGTATAGAGTTGGCATAATTAAACAAACTTCCACATGGAGGACTAAATGCATTTTCCTGGGAATGGGACAGCATGAACTTGGTATTGCTCTGTCAGATCTTCCAAACCATTGACAAAGTAAAAAAAGCTGTTTTTACAGCTTTTTGAAGTTGCACTAGTGATCCAGTTATTCAGAATCAGTTTCATCTGTTTCAGATAGTCTTTTCCTTGGCAGGTACTTTGTTTTTGAATTTACTTGCCTTCTTAGGACTCTGGTAGTGTATTTAGGTGAATTTGTCCTGAGGTAGACTGACAGCTACAGAGAAGGGAGAACAGATCCCCATTCAAGCCCCAGAAGACCCATGTTACTGGCACCTAGAGCATATCAGACTCTTGTCCACAGAATTTCACATGAGTAGTACCCAGGTGTACCAATTTCAGTGCATACCTCCCTTCCACTGTCTCATAGCTATGACTCCTTGCATACCAGGTAGTCTTCATTGGCTGAAGGACTTCTAAAACCAAATATGTTTTTTTCTGACTCCAATGCCTGGTAAACTGGCATTGACCTTTCACTCCAAATATTCTTTTTAAGATATCGATGATGTTCTAAAGCCATAATCCAATACTCCAGTTGCTTGCTGACCAAACTTTGTAACACACAATATGCTTTGCTCAGGAGTCCTAACTGCAGCTCTGGGTATTGACTACTACTGAAATCCCTCATAAAGCTCTGCTTTATCTGACCTTGAACTAACTTTTCATGTTGTTGGTTTTGCAAAATGTTTTTGGTTTTGTTCCTTCCTCCCTCTCTTCCCCTCCTGTGTTGCTTGGAAGTACTCCTGATATCTTTGTTAAGTCCTTTTTCACCTGTGGCCACAACAGGTCACAGCAGACACCATGCAAGTCTTACTTTGAAATGGTTTAAATTCATGTGTATTTGTTATATAAAGTCTCTTGCTGCCTCCACTTATTAGTCCCAATCTCTCCCCATTGGTTTTGCTGCCCCTGTGCACTTGTCATACAATGTCAGTTCTCCACTTTGAGTTCTTCTAGCAATCTGCTGCTGGGGCCAGATTCCTCAGTACCTTACACTACAGAGCCATATGCCATTTTGGCCTACAAACGTGTATTTGTATGTGGCAATGAGCAAGTTTTATCTTTGTAACATGCTGGTCCAAGTGCTCTGAATGTCCCTCGTTGTTACCTTGGCCACATCAGTCATGTGTGGTATTCTTGGATATCTACACGTTTTTTCCGAATGCACTAAGCCTCTCTGAACAAGCTTCTCAGCTTGTTTGTATTTTAAAGGGAGACCATGATACATGTGCAAGTGGCTTACTGTCTGCTCCTGAACATGCCTCCTTGGGACTTTTTTCTTTAACTGCAAATCCTCAGTGAAATTCATTACACGTGTCCCTTTTTTTATCAATCAGGATTCCTTACTGCACATCCAGTCTTTCTTCGCCTTCAGTGGACCATCACTGAGGTTTGCTTCAGTTTCTGCCTTATTATTCACATACTGCAGGAGTTAAAATACCCTCCAGGGAACGTGACATGCTCTTCAGACTGCGGATTTTTTAAAATCGAGGTTCACACTGCCAGTGCCCACTGGGTGGCTCCAGACACTGCACCTTGCCCCACCTCCACCTACTCAGCGCTAGCCCAGCTCTGCGGATGCGTCCGTGCTGGAGATCAACCAGAGTGACAGGGCAGAGCCGATAAACAGATGATGCACCAGACACATCAGTAATAGTTACTGGTGAATATTTGCATCACGGTAGTGCTCAGAGGCCCAGTAGAGGGTACCTGTGCAGGATGAAACATCAAGGCTTAAGTTCCACACATTGCCCTTGAGGCACTTAACTGAGGTGCCCAAAGAGAGAGAGACTTACACAGGCTACAGAGGTGATGCTGTTCTCTTACTGACTGCATGGCAGGCCAAATAAGATGATGATTCAATGTAGGTGACTTATTTAAGCTCTTGGAATTCAACAGGATGAACCTGTCCCTATGGGAGAAGGGAATATTGAAGACCAGAACTGCAGCTGTGTATTCCCTGGCTCTATGGTCACATGTGTGTGAGCATGTGTGCATGTACACTGCATGTCCTGACCTCAGAATTTTATCTACACATACACATGCATGTGTACACTGCATGTTCTGGCCTCTTTAAGTCCAGTACATAAAGAGTGGTTTGGCAGGGAAGAGAGAAGTCCTCTGATTTAATTTGAAGTGAGACTAATGATTCTGCAAAGCAATAAAACAAATTCATGCTGTTGCCTAACTCTGTGACTTCTCTTTCTAAATGCACTCCTGGTTTGTCATGTCTTACAAGATTGTGCACATGTAGGTTACCTACACACAAACTTGACTTGCTGTTACAGAATTTCCACAATTTTATTTTTTTCTATCTACCAACTGCTATACGAACCAACTGTATGTAAGGAGCTGTTTCACCTGTACTACCCTGTGTTGGGGCTGGCATACCAGCAAAGCAAACCAACCAGCCAATCTCAACAAAAGTAAGCATAACAAGGAAAGGAATGGACTCTAGTCAGTTTTGTTTTACTTCAGGAAACGATCTCATTTGGACAATGATTAATATTTAATTGGGACATAGTGAAGTTCGAAAGTTTCCCACTCTTCATGCCATAATATAGTTTACTGCTTCAGGAAACCCCTGTCAGTTCTACTAGGCTTAAAAGAGGTGTGAGGATCTTAGATGCTTTGCATCTGTGGAGATTCAATACATAAGACAATACATGCATAAGGAAGAGATTTCCCCATCTGGCTAACACCATCACATTAAGAGACACGCACCTTTTGAGCTTTGAAGTGTTAAAGCCAAGGAGGCTCAGGAGTTTTTAATCTGATAATATTTCACTACGTCTCATCTAGTATGGCAACAGAAACCCTGTCTTGCACAAAATGTCCATTTTATTAAAAGGCTGCAGTTATTGAAATTGCATTTTCTTGCTGAACCTGACCTAGAAGTATTGCCCCTTTCACAAGAGGGTGAAGCATGTGAGCTAGTGTTAAACCATATAGAAAGTGATGGCACTTTACCAGTGTTATCTCACCTAAAAGATGCATCCTTGTGTGGTGGTTTTAAGCCCAGTTGAAGATGAAACACCACAAGAAGAAATTAACTCTACCCTAGCTGAAGTCAGGACAGCTTGACCACCTGCTTCCATTCTCAAGGAACTTGTCTCTAAATCTGTAGCACACCAACATGGATGAAGTGTCAGAAGCACTTAGAAATGAAAAATCCTTTGCTATGTACAGGCAGAGTTTGGGGATTTCTTCTATAGCTGGCTCTCAAATTAGTCAAATGAGTGTCTTTATCAATGTCCATATATGGTACACGTATTTAAGGAGAGCAGACATGGGTGATGTGGCAGGAGTCTGTGCTCCAATGAAGAGTCTATAATTTTCTACATTCTGTAAGATGCATAGAAATCATTAGCAATGCCTAGGAGTTGTGGAAGATCCAGAGATTGCTACTATTAAACCCAGGACACCAGCATTTAAGCAACTGTTAAGGCACTGGCATGTCATTCTGCTATTTTAAGTATGAGTTGAGTATCAGA